TCAGGAATAACAAGCATAGCGTATTATTCCAGACTGACAAAAGGTATATAATAAACCATGTAAGATGACCAGATGTTCTGTTCAGTGCTCTGGTTAGATGTTGCTCTCTAGAAAGCTTCCCATAACTTTACCAAGATAAAGTTCTCAGTAGCAAATTTCACTAATCTACAAGGCACATTTTGTCACTTTATATCGTCAATGTGCGTTCATCGTTGGTCTTCCCCTGAAATCCTTGTGGATAGGGCTGCAGCAGGCACCAAGGGTAGTACATCTGAGCCAGTACGTTAGGCAGCACAGGAAGGTATTCAGGAATACACTGCTGAATGATTCAGTCCTACCTCAGGGTCAAAAGGTACGCATCTTACATTGTGAGGTAACACTGACGTTTTGGACATGTGAAAACAATACATTTTTCTATCTTCTGGAAGAATTATTGATATAAGTTTCATTTTTTAATTCTCACATTTTTTCTGGGTGTTTTTTTGGTGTTGTTGTTATTTTTTTGTGGTGGTGCTGGGGAGCAAACTCACAGCCTTGCATGCTCGACCACTGAGCTACAGCCCAGGCCCAAATTAAAACCTTTTGAAACTTCACTGGGAAAAGATACGGTACAACAGTTAAATTCTGTGTCTAAACCTTGAACCTCACATTTCTCTTTTCTGACAGAAAGGGCTCATCGTATGACAGTTGGGTTCTAGGATTACAATGTGATAGCACAGGGTAACGAATCCAAAACTTCAGTGTAATCACAGCCTTGTCTCTTTATTCAGTTCTCTCACAAACCACATCCTCTAAAGTAATGGTACACATGAGTTCATCTCAAATATCACGAAGCATGAACTTCCCTTCTTGAGGACTGGAACCAAGTAAGGGTAAAGAAATGTATTCAAATGAATATGAAGAAATGTCGGTTTGACCTCAATCATGCACCAGCTATTACACAGAGCCCTTCTCCATCCAAAAATGGAAAAGAAACGAAAAGAAGAAATGGATTTTAATATATTTAACTATTCAGTAATTAAGTTCCCATTTGTCTTCATTAGCCTAGATGTGAAAAAAATTTGTGAAACTAATTCCAAACTAGGAACCACACTGACACTACTTAGCGGAAAACCATAAATACTATTGAAACTGATGGCTGACTTTAAAATTCAATTACACACATCTTATAAAAGAACCATGCCCATATTATAGCCACTGCCTGGCAGATGTCATAAATTAGAACACGATGGCTTAAAAGCTAATGTGTTTTACTAGACCTTTTATACTGCTGTGATCTCAGGTCAACTGTATTTGGGGTAGCTGGTGAGAAAATCTGCAAGATCTCTGATGGGTGAATAAACTAAACATTAGTGTTTCTACTTCCTGTATTCAGAATTGCTGTTATTAATAATAAACACGGCCTGGGTACCACATACTTTCAATCCTGTTCTCATTTTGCATGAATAATTAGTAATTTCTTATGGCTAAGCAATGATATTGCACAATTTAAGAAATAAACTGCACTTTTGAATCATACTAAGAAAGCAAAATGAAGTCAGTATGCTTAGTTCAAAAACCATTTTAGATTGGATAAAGGGAATGAACACATGACAATGTTGGATTATGTGACAAGAGTAAATCACTCTTTGATCTCACGAATGCGGGACAATAGAGACCAACAGAGAAAGTAGAAAGAACAGCCTCCAGTATTGATTTGCACCACGTGACAGATACTGCATCAGGAATTTTAGGAATTCTGCCTCATCTAATCTTCACAACAAGGTCATGACTATTCACAGATGGGAACTCCGGAGTTTGGGGTATTACTACCAGTTGTCCAAGACACACAGGGAAAAGAGGGCTCAAACCCATGACTTCCACACTCTAAAACCCACCCCGTTTTCAGACTGGCTACCACAAAGTCAAGGGCCACTGTCCCCTCTCTCTTGTTTCCTACCTATAAGACCATTTATATCAGTGTGATATCATCCCTAAAATAATGACACCATATTGTGAACATTTACTGAGCCTTTACTGCACACCACACTGGACACCACATGCATTACTTCATTAAGGGCCAACAACAACACTGAGGCAAGCATAAAAACTGAAGCTCAGAGAACCTGAAGTTCCTGTCCAAGGTCATTCGGCTAAGGAGTGGCACCACCTGGAAGCCAAATCTGTCTGACAAACAGCCCACATATAGCTTATGCACTACATAAACCTACAGTAAAACCTCAATTCGACAGCCTCTCACACTTCCACATACTGAATCGGAACGAATTCAGTGCTTTGGATTTTGCAGAATCAAATCCAGAAAATAAATGAAAGATTTATTTTTCTGTAATGCTATTTCTAATGAACATTCTGGGCTTGACATACATATATCTATAATCACTTAAAACTCCAATAACTCCTTTTACAATATTCCACAATGAAATCTGCTATTCAGAATCACAGACCTCGTCCAATACCAAAAAAAAAAAAAAAAAAAAAAAAAAACAAAAAAAAAAAAAAAAAAAAAAAGTCAATTATGGTCACTGCATTGTACCATTTCCTAAAGGGAGGATATAAAATCCACTAGATCTTAGAAGACATTTTTAACAAAAGCAGGGCTCAAAAGGAGGTTCACATCACTAAATCTCAGTAAGCTAGAAAATCCAATTAACTGTAATACCCCCATTTGTCAGCATTGAAGTTAATCCAAATTTTACTGATTGGCAATCAAAACTTTGAAATAATTTAAGAATAAAGAATTTTTATACTAATGCTCTTGATTTCTTACCCAGACTCAACTGCAATGAATTATTTAACACAAAACTGGAGGGGTTCCAACAGAGTCATTACCATTAGTAACTACATAGTTAATGTGTTTGAGAACAGGGCTTAATGGACTCCAGAACCTGTCTCTGACGGTTTGGGTCAGGATATGAAACATCCCTGTTAATAATGCACAAGACTCAACACCTTGCTCTCTCACTGACATTCCACTTGGACCCAAATTTCATTTGAATGTAGGGACTCCCCATACTCAGGGAAACTCTGAAGAGGGAAACCGCAAATGTCCAATACACGCAACAAATAAAGCCAGGACTAAACACTGGTTTCACAACATAAATTTACAGTCACTTTGGAAGAGATTTTGTATACCGAAACAAAATTTTAAGTCAAAAACATAAAAAAACACAAATTTTGATTTGTTTTCTCTCACTTGAAGAAAGTTTGCATACTTTACACTGATGCCTGGAAGGAGAGCTATAACATTCATTGGCACTCCAGGGTCTTTTTTTGTTTTAAAGGAAGTAACACGTTCATGATTAATTTTTATTAACACCTTCATTAACACGGAGGACTGTGAAACAAACGCTTAAGATTTCTTAGGCACTTTGATTTTTTTCTTGTTTTTTGGTTTTGGGTTTTTTTTTTTTAGTATTTTCTTGCTGAATGCAGTTAGGTATATTAATGAAAGTTAGGACAGCAGAAGGAGGCAGCTACGTCTTCAGGTTCAAAGGGGTTTTCTGTGCTCAAAATCGAAGCGACCCATTCCACATGACACTGCTGTCACCTGTTTAGCCTACGACCTGGCGTATTTTATTTTTTAAGTATCCTAGTCACTCCTAGGCAGGTTTTTGTTAATTGTTTGGCTTGGAGACAACAGCCCCTATGCTCCAGTAATTGGAACAAGTTCGGGAGACCTTTCTAAACGTCCAACAACTTCACAACGCTCATTTGTCTCCATCAGCTGAAGATGCAGACGCCTGGGGACGGAACACCTCTCTTTCTAGGACCCGAAGTACGGAACAAAAGGTCCCAAGGTATCTGTCCCACTTCCCTCTCGGTCAGACGTTCTCCTCAAGGCCGGGGCACAATCCAACACTTCACCGGTCTGTAAAGCTCAGTTAGGGGCCAGATACCCAATACCGCAACCTGCGCGCAGAAAGCCGAGAGAGCGGGGCGGTCGCCAGCCCCGGGCGCAGAGGGCCAGGGTGTCAAGTACGGAACAAAAGGTCCCAAGGTATCTGTCCCACTTCCCTCTCGGTCAGACGTTCTCCTCAAGGCCGGGGCACAATCCAACACTTCACCGGTCTGTAAAGCTCAGTTAGGGGCCAGATACCCAATACCGCAACCTGCGCGCAGAAAGCCGAGAGAGCGGGGCGGTCGCCAGCCCCGGGCGCAGAGGGCCAGGGTGTCTCCCAGCGCC